GAGATGGGTGTGATCTCAGCCATCTCCCCCCAGCACAATCGTGGCCATCTCCGCACTCGGGTGGGGTGGGGAGATGGCTGCGATCGCAGTTCCATTCATGCAGGGAAGGCTTGTCTGATCAGAGGCGCACTCCTGCAGGAAAGACAGGCGGAATCTTGGCCATCTCCCCCACGGCTCTACTTTGCTGCTGCCGTCTTTCCTGTAGCAGTGCGTCTCTGATCACGCACGCCTTCCCTGCACGAAAGCAACTGCGATCGTGGCCATCTCCCCACTTGGGTGGGGGGGGGAGATGGCTGCGATCTTGGTTGCCAGTCAAAGCGGTGTTTGTGACCCAAGTCAAAATTTTTCAGAAATTTTTGTTCGTGACCCGATTTGTTCATGAACCAAGACGTTCGTGAGCTGAGGTACCACTGTATTTTGGGCTGTTTTTCTGGTGTTTCTCGTGTCAGGCATGTAAGACAGCCTCCAATTTTTGCTTTGCTATCTCTGATTTCAAGGGTCCATTTATAAACAGTATGTGCAAGTACATCTCTGACAAAAAATGTGAATATCTTTAGGGGGAAAATATGAATATCTCTAGAAAAAACCCACAAATATCTCTAGAGTCTTTGCATCCATTGAGAGACACGAGTGAGGCTGGCTACTGCTGAAACAAAAGAGCATGGTATCCCCAAATAGAGTGCCTAGATATATATATATATATATATATATTTTAAGGGTCCTGCAGTTTCAGGCATCTGCTGGGGGCCTTAGAACCTATTCCTCATAGATACAGGGGTCCTACTGTATGACAACAAATTTTCATTTGGGCTATAAGACAGCCCCCCGATTTTTGCCTCGCTATTTCTGGTTTCAAGAGTTTTCTTATACGCAAGTATATATGGTATGAGTTATAGCATAACAAGGGAATAGATATATCCCACTAACCTAACTGCCTCTTTTATCCATAGTCCTTATCCAAGAAATAGTGGTTATTGGTCCAGCTCTCTCAATTAATTTTCCACTTTCAGCATCTCTGATGCTTCTTTCCTCTGGGCTTTTTCCCTTCTTTACTCTTTTCTGCCTGTCATGTCCATTTCCTGAGTTAAAATTTATTTCTCTTTTCCTTTCATCATATACTCAATGTTATAATATCCAGCTTCTTTAGTAAAACTTCCTGTTACTTTGACCTCTTAACGATTAACCCTAGAACATAAACTGACCTGCACACATTGCATCAAGTTGCAATAGGAGTGAAGGAATTTGAGGACAATATCAGTTGTGCAGGAAGAGCAGCTTGTCCTTTTTTCAAATCGTTTCCATTCTAGCTGGTCATTACAGAAACACTGGAACCAAGTAGTACAATGTGTTTGCTTTTTCTTTCTTTCCTCCCAATTTCTCTTTTCATTTGTGTCCTTTAGATTGTCAGCCTCACGGTAAGTGCTATCTTAAGAATAACCTTTGTAAGCCACTCTGAGAACCTACTTTGGCAAGCAGGGTAAATATCTTTCAGATAAATAAGAAATGATTAGGAATTCTTGACATTGACAGTTACCACTGTATCATCATGTGAGCTTTCATATAATGACTTGGATCAGGTAATGTCATTTCAGCGGCAGAAAGGAACTGTTGGTGGAACACATTTTATCTTCCTCCTGCAACTTCCCATGTGTGCCGCTGGTCTGATAGGCTGGGAACTGCAGTGGAGAGGAGAGGACAGCAAGATGCTGTTATGTGAGCAGAAGTCGTATTGTACAAACAAGTTTCCCCTTGTGATGTTGAATTTTTGGAGTGTGTATTGGTGATTAAAATCTTTTAAGTACAGATTATATGTTGTTAAAGTAACAAATGTATGCATTATATCAACTGCACATGTAATACTTCACTAATGTTCCTGCCTCAGAGTTTAGGCACAGGATCAAACCAAATAAGAGCAGCATCTTCTTTTCTGCGGTCCCCCCCCCCATGCTGCTTTTTGCAATAGGGATAGAGTTTTGCAGGTGAGAGATCAGGACTATTTATTGGATGTTATATTTGGATCAAATGAATGCTCTTACAAGCTAAGATCATTTCTGGAAGAATGATCACTGAGCACAGAACTTGGGCATGCAGAGAAAAGGGAGGGAGAGAAGAAGATGAAAACCTGGTTGCTTTTAGGAGTGTGACTGACTGAGTTGCAGGACTTGTTCCTCCCTGGGGCAATGCAGGTGCGCAGACTTATTTTTCTTTAATCACTCACATAAATTAAACTTTATTCCCTTGCATTAAAATAATTAAATAAAGCTACACCCAGTATCTTTTATTGCCAGATGGTATCTCTGAATCTCTGGCTCACAGTCTATCAGCTGCAAGGTGTTTTCCAAGATGTGCTTTACCCATTCTGCCATTGTACTAACAATGTTCTAGACAGAGAAAACCCCAGATAGCAATCAGAGCCATCTGAAGTTTGAATCATAGTGCCCAGTAGCAACTAATCTTCTTTAGGCCCCTCCTTGGGTCCATTTACCCTCCTTTCCCACCTGTCAGACACACCAAGATGAAAGTCCTTCTCATTAAGTCCCAAATGTATAAGCTAATAGATTTCACCCACTTAAAGTGGACTGCAGAGCTGTGGGTCCTCTGAGGCAGACTTGGTGCTGGTGAAGAAGAGAGGGAGAGGGAGAAATGATATATTTCTTAGTAAGCTGGAAGGAAACAAATAGTTCATCAGCCGTTGTTATGCGAAAGTTATTTTCCTTCTACTGTTTTCTTAGAGAATATTACTCCTTGTAGTTTAACAGTTGCAGACTTGTGCCTCTAAAGTGAGCCTTTGATAGTACTGCTGCTTTCAGCTATGGTGCACAACTACAATCTGGGGTCCTGATCTGACCCCAGGGTTCCCCAGGGTTGATACCCCCCACTCCAGCCCTTTTCCTCCAAATACCATTTGGTAGTTTCCTGGCTTTTGTGAAGTTTCCTCCCCATTCTAAAAGGTTGCAATGCTTAGTTATTGACAGTGGGTGCATTTGCACATCATGACAAGCAGTCCTGGCAATACGCCACAGTGGGTTGATTGCTGTGTGAACAACCTGTGACGAGCTCAGCAGACAACTGGATTCACTGGTGGTTGTTGGCCCCTTCCGTCCCTCTCCTTTCTGCTTACTCCTCCCACAGGTGTCCAGGAGGACACTGTAGCAGGACTGACCTGCCTCCCTCTGCCTCATTGTGACTGCAAGACATTTTTGGCTTCCCATGACTTATTTCTGTTTATTCTTTATTTTTTCCTTTTGAAGATAGCAAAAGCTGACTTGCTGGCCAACTTTCATAATCCCCAATTTTGACAGCCCCTTCAAAGTGTCCAAGTGATGGCTGGCGAAACCATTCCTTAATTGTGTGTGAATGTATGCATGCATAAATGCATTTGTATGTTTTTAAATTTATTCACACTTACGTGACTGTACAATTGTGCAAGTTGAGTGTAGGAATTTGAATTACCCTTGGCTGGGGCAGTGTCCTAAAGAGCAGGTAAAAATGCTTGTCATTGCCTCAGAGAGGATCCAAATGGTTTTTATCCCCTTGGGTTCTCCTGATAGTAGGTGGGAGTAAGAGGTAAAAAAAAGGGTGATGTGATTCACATAAAATTCGTGGCAAGATCCTCACCTTTTTCTTTCTCATTCTGATGGTCCTCAGAGTAAGGAACAATATGGACTTTGTTCCAAGATTCTAGGTGGTTGGAAAAGTGCAAAACTGTATCCCCCCGCCTTTTTCTTGAGAAAGGGAGCCTTGACTGCTAGCTGTCAAAAGTCTGACTCTCTTTAAAATGCACTTATCAGAACAGTGGGGGATTTTCTCTCTCACACACTCACACACAGACATCAGTACATGTTCTTTAAAAAGTCCATACCAGGTTGTGCAAAAATACATAATTTAAAAGAGTTCTGGTAGCCATTGACAGACCCTAAGAATGGGCACTTGAGAACTTTAAAGGGGCTCTCAGTGGCTGTCAAAATGAAGATTGTGAAACCCAGCTGTAAAGATGGCTTTTGCAATTTCTGAAAAGAAAGTGCTAAGAAAAAAAAGTTGGAGCAGGCAGAAAAGGGCTTATAATTGCAGCAGAGAGGGCAGTAAGCCAGTGCCAACCACTTCCAGTCACCACTTGAGTACCTGCAGAAGGCTGGCACTGGCAGGTGCTTAGGCACACTTGGTAGTCATGGCAAAAGGTTTTTGTCACATTTTCCTAGCAAATTGGTAGTTTGTTCCCATTACCCCCCCCCCCCACCCATGGGTTTGGTTGCCTGGTTGTAACCATACTTTTGCCATCAAATAAATGACCCTGTGGGAGTTGATCTGGGTAAGCACAACATGAGAAACCATCACAGACAGCATTTAAAACCATATATACTCAATTCTTCTGAAGATGCAGAATGGGACACTCACCAAACACTTATTTCAACTTGGAAGTACATATTTGTCTGCTGTGTCATCATAGGTGTACTTACTTTTCCATTCTCGGCACTTTGCCTTTATCCAGACCATACTAACTGACCGATCTACACCTAATAATTTGCAATGCAGTGTTTGCTACTGTCATGTGAAAAACAGTCCTGTAAATCCAGCCTTAGCATGTAATAGTGGGCTGAAGAAATGACATGGAGAGAAGGCTGCCAAACCGCAAGATGTCAGAGAGAGCACGTATGGTTTATGCTAGATAGGATAGGACAGGACACATTTGACTAGCCTAGTAGCATAATAGGATTGATTGACTAATTGAATAACATAATGCATTCCTTCCATCTTCAAAATGTAAGAGACATAAATAAGGCTGGTGAGTCTATACGTGTTTAATTATAATGAGAAGCATGTGGAAAGAGATTGGTGATAGATAGGTATGGCCCCACCATGAATAGGGTAAACACAGAAGAACAGATAAAGTACAGAAGAACATGCTTTATTGAAAGGATGATTGTACAGCATAATTCTATAGACTTGCATGACTCTGAACTGTTCAGCTGCCTTGAACCCTCTGTCTTTTTTATTTTCAGCTCAAAGACATGTCATTACATATATGGAAGATGCAGTGAGCCAACTTCTAGAAAGCAAAGAAGATATTAGTCAATATGGTATTGCCAAATTCTTCACTGAATAGTAAGTATATCAGGACTCCATCTGTAGATTCAGCCTGTAAGTGGATTCTGGAAGCAGCCATTGCACACAGAAAATGGAGAAACATGCTGATTAATTTGTGGCTATAAAATAAGATTAGTCTCTACATATGACTTACCTAGACTTAAGTGAACCGTGAGGTCCAACTTAGCTCCATACTGAGCCTTAGAAATGCAATTTATTTAAGAAATCTATATAACCAACTTCTGCTTGCCATGCTTTGAGAAATGTTAAGTCATGTCACCTGCTAATCCTTGGCAGAAGAGGATCACATAGGTTTTAAAGAAGCCAATTATAAAATAGTTCTCTCTTAGCTAGTTTCTAGTACGTGTCAGTTTCTCATATATTCATTCATAAGTTCTGATTTCCACATCAGTCTTCAATTTATAAAATTCCCCACAAAAATACTCATTTATTTTGGTATGCAACTTTACCTAACATGCCTTTTTGCATGCAGTTTTTGCACTGAGAACAACACCAGAACATTAGATATGTGCAGTCCAACTGATAACTGTGTTCTGATTTTCATTTTAGTCCATCAGTTGCAAATTAGGTTGTTTCACTTAAAATAGAGACCAAACAAAATTTGCCCCCAATTTTGTTCCATTGAACTGGCTTCAAGTGAGCTTGAAGTGACAACTGGAAGCTTGCTGGAGCCAACTCAGGATAAATAGAACCAGAAGTGGTCTGATCAGAAGACTAGAGCTCTGAAAGAAGTTGTATTTCTGAATCATGCACCAATATGCATTCATGTTTTTCTATTTCTCTGCATTTTTACTGCTTATGAGACTTGATGGCTTGATTCACACATAATGCTTATCCATGTTTGCTTAACCCATAGTTAACCAGGGTTTGACTGGCAGATGAGCACTCAAATTATGGTTTATCTTTGCAGTTCCTAGGTTGATTGTTTCCCTCTTTCCCCTGTTTCTTCCCTGTATCCTACATGTCTTCACAGATCTGTAGTATTGGCATATAGATTGGCTGTTTTCTTACCTGCTCTTAATTGCACTGCTATAGCCTGGTGAAACAACCCATGATCAACTCACAGTTGTGTCTCTCTCTGGGTTGCTTGTGGTTAACCATGCTTTGTTGCATTCATACATCATGAGAACCCAGAATTCAATAATCCATTTCAGTCTTTTTAAATTGGCTATTGTTTCTTTCTTCACTCTTTCCCTTTTTCTTTTCTTTTGGTTTGCTCTGCTGGAGATGGAAGGATCCTTGGACACCACACTGTTCAGATGGATTAATTTTATTAAGTTGTTGTATGGTCCTTTTTGTCTATGAATTGTCTACTTTATGTTGAGCATTGTGTATCAACAGACTTTTAAATATTTTCTATTATAATTCTATGTCTGTGGGATACAGATTCTGAATTTAAATCAACACTGGGCTTGTTAACTGTAAAGTTGAATTTGACCTAATGAGGAGTGTTTATGTATGTATCTTGCACTTTTCCTCAAAGGAAATCCAGAGCTGCTAACAACTGAATAAAAACGATGCAACATGTGAGCACTGCTCATGTCATAAGCCTAAAATTATAAATGTACAATAAAATATAATACAACTATTGCTACACCAGAAAACAGATAAAAAATTTGCCTATATCCGAAGAAAATAAATACATTTTTGATGTATTAAAATTATTTTCCAGTTGTTCTATACTTAACTGATAATGTATCCTGTGTTTCTTCAAATACATATAAGAAAACATTGATATTTAGTCATTTAGTCACTATTCTAGCTCTGTACTTCAGCTTTTTTAGATGCCTTGTCTGACGTATAATGAAGAACAAGTGTTGGACTGAAAATTCAGATCAGTAACTAGAATGGAGGAAGGCCAGACACTGGAAAACTGCAGAAGCTGTGTTGCAGGAATCATTGTCAGTGTAAATGAAGAGGCAAGAAGTTCAGGGCATGGGGGCAGGCAGTATCTTTATCACAGGTAAACAGAAGCAAAGCTGACAGAAATCCTGTTAGAAAGGCTAACCAGCATTGTTAGATAGTGACTGGCTTGATGCACAAATAACTGTTGGAAGGTTGTTGCATATATTTAAATGCCATTTTAACTGTTAATGGTTTACTTGTTGATTTTAAAATGACCAGGCTGTTTCCACTATTTTATTTTATGTATTTTATTTATTTGATGAATTTTTTTTGTATTTTATACGGGATTTTAAGGATTGTAAGCCGCCCCGAGGCTCATGCGATGGGGCAGCATATAAGTTGTCTAAATAAATAAATAAATAAATAAAGAAATAAAGAAATAAAGAAATAAAGAAAGAAGGAAAGAAGGAAAGAAGGAAGGAAGGAAGGAAGGAAGGAAGGAAGGAAGGAAGGAAAGAAAGAAAGAAAGAAAGAAAGAAAGAAAGAAAGAAAGAAAGAAAGAAAGAAAGATATTTTCCCCACATGCTCTTATTAAAAGGGGTGGACAGACTTTGGGGACTGGCAGGTGAGGGGCTGCACTGATTCCTTGAATCTTGCAGAAGCTGCAACCCCGTCCCCTCAAGTTGCCAGTAATTCTGTTGGGAAACAAGGTGTATGGGAAGTGCATGCCTTGGTTTATAGCAGAATCAGACTTTTAACCAGCCACAATTTGGGGCGGGGGGGGGGGTTGTTAATCTGTTTGGTAGGCTGGCAGACATTTGATTCTGTGTGGAAACAAGACATGCAGAGAGACCAACTCAGTCACCTTGTCTTCCTACAAAATTCACATCCCCACAGTCCCTGTTTCTTGGCAGAATTAGTCTCCTGTTAGTTGTTTGAAGGCTGGCAGGAGTGTGATTCTGTGAGGAAATTGGGTGTGTGAGAGGTTTGTTGTTGGGATAAACTCTGGGTTCTTTAACCTTCAACAAGCCAGAGTACATGGTTCGGCCATCACGACTAACAACCGAGGAAGGTTGCTCTTGAGTTGTTTTGGAAGGTAGATGTGAAGGAGAGGTGGTGAGCAGACAGGAAGCAGCATTCTTGCTCACTTGTGGCTCTGCCAATTCATACATTGCTTAATTTATGAATTACATGAGAATCCAATCATGATGGCCTGAATATAGCTATATATTTTCTGTTTATTTTTCATATGGTGTTGTGATCATATTTTTATTTCAAATAAATAGCATTTGATCATTTAAATGTGGTTTTGCCTTATAATTGAAATCCTAACCACTGATTTTCCACATACAGACAGGAGAAAACAAAATAATCTGCCCAATAAAAAGGGCGTAAATATAAATACAAATATATTAAGCCCTACCCTCAAAACTGGCAAGTGTGGATGGGATTTGGCCTGCTATGCCCAGATCTGTGTTAAAATGTGTTTGACAATAGGTTTGAAATAACTGAAACTACATATTTTTGTAAACATTTTCAGGGGTGGGCAACTTGTGGCCCTTCCAGGTGTTATGGTTACATCCTTAGCCAGCACAGTCAATGATGAGGGAATTTGGGAGATGTAGGCGATAGCTTCTGGAGGACTGCAAGTTGCCCATCCTTGATTTAAATGATAGTCTAAGTATACTTTATAATTCAAGTTTCTTTACATATCAATGTAATATATGACAGCTTTAGAAGAAAATCCTGAAGCAACAGGTTTGGAGCTAGAGAAATGGATTTAGTTGTTTTTCTAGTTTATAGTGATCAAATATCCAGTTCTCACTCTTCTGGACAACCCAGACATAGGCAATAGAAGTAAGCAGTTGTTGTCTGTAAAGTGTTCTGCATATGATATTTGCACAGACTTGGTACCTTATTCCTTTGACTCCTACCAGTTTCCTTTCTGATAGGTTGTTGTCTATTACTGAGAATAATCCTGGTTCTTTGTAAAAGATTAATCTTTCAGACATATTTGCTGCTGCTTCTTTTGTATAAAATCTACTTTTATTTTTTACAAAGAAAAAAAATGTAACATCTGTTTCAGTTGTGAGTGGTTTCGGCTTCATTCTGTTCCTAATGCACACAGACAGAACCTTTATACTCATCTCAGAATCTGGAGAAACTCAGAGTTCATTTAAAAAGTGAGGGGGAGAGCAGAGGATTTCTGTTTAGGACAAACAGACAGGAATGTTTTTCTTCTTCAACCCTTCTTGCAGATAACACAGTATGTGGTGAAGCTGATGTATGTTAAAGAATAAAAAACCTCTAAAATAAGGCCACAACCACTCTTGCCCACAAACTGGAATAATGGAGAACTGTGGAGCTGGAGTGTTTGTCTCTAGGTCATTGGGGATAAGAGAGGTCACAGCTTGTGAAAACAACAGAGTGGGGAAATGCCATGCTGTGTGTGGCACAGGTGGCTGTTTGTGTAGTGAACATAGGTGGAATTCTTAACATTCCTTGCTGCTTCTCAGCAAAATCCTCTGTCTAAGCAAAGGCACAAAGAAGAGAATCCACCAAATGACATGTGTGCTGAAGGTTCAAACTACATATTATGCAGAATGCTGTGATACCTTTTCTCCACATTTTTAAATCTAACGCAGCCCAGAACAGGCTACGATTGAGTAAAAGATGAAGTAAAGGATGGATGGGTGAAAAGAAGCATTTCAACACTTTTCCTTCCAAGTTAGGTATTTCAGTTCAAGATTGGTCTCTCCAAACAGCTGTTTTATCACTGAGGGTGAGAATGGGGAAGCAGCAGGGTTGCTGTATCATTACTGATAGGAGGTAAAAAAAATGCTTAGCAGAAGGTGCACATGTAGGGCTATCAGTTAGTATTGACAAGACAAGGTTGCCTGTTGGCTAATTTACATACTGGGACTGTGGTAGAAATAATAGTAAGAGAAGACAGGACCTGGTAGCCCAAGTCAGAAGAACTGAAAATGGCACAGGGGGATGCTAAAGGAATGAATGCACCAAAGGAGTGTGGGGAGAATATTTCCCCTTTGGCAATGTGATCTTCTCAGTTGTAAATGCTGAACTTACACTGATCAGTGTCCTCCACACCTTTGCAACACTTCCCCAACTCTCCTCCTCCAGAAAGGAGAGAT